GGGACACAGGGAGAGGGATGGGGACATGTGGGACACACGTGGGGATACAGGGGACAGGGACATGTGTGACACACGGGGACAGGGACATGTGTGACACACACAGGGATGGGGACACGTGGGGGACACAGGGACAGGGATGTGTGTGATACACATGGGGATGGGGACACGTGGGACAGGGGACAAGGACACGTGTGACACACACAGGGACACACGGAACACACAGGGACGGGAACACGTGTGGGGGACACATGTGAAAGGGGACAGGGACATGTGGGGACACGTGTGACACACATGGGACGGCGACACGCGTGTGGGGGGTCACAGGAATCCCAGAGGGGGTTTGGGCCCCAAATCTCACCCAGGCAGCCCCGGGGACCCAGTTTTCCATGTCCTGGGGGCTCGTCCCCATGTCCCTTGTCCTGTGTCCCCATGTCCCCTGTCCCGGGGGTGTGTCCCCTGTCCCGGGGGTGTGTCCCTCGCCCCGTGTCCCCGTGTCACTCACTGTTGATGCCCTCGGTGTTGGAGATGTTCCCGCTGCAGATGGCATCGTAGTACTGCTTGTTGCTCATCAGGGTGTACATGCCCAGGATGGCTGGGGGGGGACACGGGTGGTCAGGGGGTGACCAGGACACTCCTGTCCCCTCGGGACACCCCTGTCCCCTCGGGACATGCCAGGATGGCTGAGGGGACACCCCCATCCAAGGCCCATCCCTGTGCCAGCCCCCCGACCCACCGGCGAGGTCGCACATCTCGGCCTCGGTGGCGTTGGCCAAGGCCTCCTCCAGCTCCGGCTCCAGCGTGATCTGCTCCTCCCGAGGGATCTCCCGCGTCGGGTTCTTGGGCACGAACGGCTTCCCTGGGCACGGGGACACCAGGGATGGAGACACGGGGACACCGGGAATGGGGACACGGGGACACCGGGAACGGGGACACCGGGGATGGGGACACGGGGACACTGGGAACGGGGACATGGGGACACCGGGGATGGGGACACGGGGACACTGGGGATGGGGAGACAAACGGCTTCCCTGGGTATGGGGCCATGTCACACCAGGAGTGGGGACATGAGGACACCGGGAATGGTGGCACAGGGACAGGGTCACACTGGGAACGGTGGTACAGGGACACAGAGACATTGTGACACCAGGAGGGACACCGGGAATGGTGGCACGGGGACAGGGTCACACT